TGCCTTCAACTCAGGTCATGATCCTGGCATTCTGGGATCCAGCCCCACGTGGGGCTCCCTGCTCGGTGGGGAACGTGCTTCTCCCTCTCCCTCTGCTGCTCACCTCTGCTCATGCTCTCTGCTCTCTCTGTCAAACAAACAAACAAATAAAATCTTAAAAAAAATATAGCTGGCTCCCGTAAGGATACTCCACTAAAAAGACATAAAAGTATCCCAAATTTCACTGGTTATAGCTTCCTGTGCTCGGGAACTTTAAATTTTTTTTTTCCTGCTGAGGTTTCTAGCTTTTCTCTGGAATTGTTAAGGCCTCCAAGCTAGAGATCTTGTTTCAGCTAAGTGTATCTACTTCCAAACTATGCAGTCATTTCCTTACGGGCTTAAGGATTAGCTTCCCTCAGCACGTCTGGTCTCATCAGAAAGTAGAAATACACCTGCTGGAGAACATTATCTATTTTCTTGCCTTCTGTCATTCATCTAGCTGGTGCAAGCAGGGAAGCCTTCAGATTCCTTGGAATAAAAACTAGTTATACTTCTGGCACAAGACAATTCCACTTTTCTCTGCTTATCTGCATAAACAGTCATGCAGCCTAATGAGGCAAATATAATGTTATTCAAGTATTGCAGAGTCCCTTTTTTCAGCTTGCACAGCATCATTCTACTTCCTGAAATCTACCTCAATAACTTTGCCTCAAGATCTTTAATTACTCTGTAAACATGCTTTGTTCCCTCGATAGCTTTCTAAATATTGATTTTTGAATCTTAATTAATGTTCAGACTATTAATTGAATGTTTGCCACCCACACTCATAGAAATGAAAATTCCGTACGAGATGCTTGGTTTCCTCCTCATACCATTATTAGTATCTAACTTCATAGAGTTTTGCGTTTTATACAGAGCTTGCCCAGAGACGGCTCTACTTGATCCTCATAAGGTTATTTTCAGGCTTGGGTTTTGCTCTGAGCTTGGCATGAGAAGTGTGTGTAAATAAAACTCATTTAGGTATGGATGGCACAACAAGTTGTTCGCCTGGTATATTTGCTCTAATCGTAATTTTTTTAAATGTGAATATTGGCTCTATACTTAAACAAATTTGGTGCATTAATGAAGACTTTACAGAAGCCAGTGATAAAAAGCAGAGCTCCAGATTCCCCTTATAATTCTCATGTAAACACTTTATGCCACTTGGTGAATTAAATAAAATTTCTCTTCTGTCAGTTGCGTTCATTCACTTTTCAAGTACATACAGAAGGTCTCCTCTTAGCCAGGTGTTCTGCAGACTCTGGTGGCTGTTCATACTTCCTGTGGGCCATCACGGTAACCGTGTGAAGGCCAAGGTGACTTGACCCAGATAGTCACCAAAAGAAAGGTCTGTTTTGGGGGCGCCTGGGTGGCTCAGTCAGTTAAGCGCCTGCCTTCAGCTCAGGTCATGATCTCAGGGTCCTGGGATCGAGCCCCACATGGGGCTCCCTGCTCAGCTGGGAGTCTGTTCTCCCTCTGCCTGCCGCTCCCCCTGCTTGTGTGCTCTCTCTTGAATAAATCAATAAAATCTTTTAAAAAAAATTTTTTTAAAAGAAAGATCTGTTTCTGAATTTATAGGATATTTTAGGGTACGAAAACTTTGTGTTATATTTTAAAAAATTGTATGTCAGTTATAATCATATCTTTAAAAAATATTAATCCTTCCAAATTACTTAATAGCTATTTCCCCGGTTGACATCATGTTTTAAAAGAGTTCATCTGCCAAATGCGTTCATTGGGTGATTATTTTCTCATTAGTATTTACTGAAAACCAAACAAATAATTGCCACTCTGGATAAATGGAGTTGATATGTTGCCAACAGCACCACCCCCCTATAAAAAGATATACATTTATTTTCTTTTTTTCTTAGGCTGGGGATCATGATTGTGGACAAATACACGATTTCCACTATTTTAAAATACTAAAAGTCTCCATGACTGAATGGCCTTTATTGATCTAATGGAATTCCTTCATTTATTAATATTCTATTAATACAGTGTTTTTTCCATTCACCTGCCAGTTTGTAGTTTAACTGGAACTAGCCAGCCTCTTTTCTGAATGTCACCTTCGAGTGTTGCATGAATGGACATCGTCTCTGGAGGGTAGGAATTGACTCAGAAAAGGAAACAAATTTATGGCTTTCATAAAGACTCAAGGTGCTTTTCTACTTAACTCAAGTGGTTGTTTCTCAGGCCTGAAGTTTTTGCTGTATTTGATGACTCTAGGTGTTAATTTATGTCCTAATGGTTGTTAGGGTGACAGTTATTGGGGCTGGGGAGCAGCGCAAGTGCAGCTGAGCCAGAGTCCAGGCAGCCCTCATGTCCCCCCCACCCGCCAAGTTCCCACCCAGCCTCTTCCCCTCCCCCCACTTGCCCATCAAATCTTTGATCTTTTTTTCCCTAAACTGAGATCAAATGATAAGTTGTGCTGGTTTACAACCGCTTGACACTAGCGTGGGGATATTTGGGTACCGTGCAGAGTTAGAGAGCCTGGCATAGCAAAACGTGTTTGGCAATAATTTGAGGTCCTCTAGGGAAAACAGTGCCTTGGACTATTCATGATGAAATGATACAGATCATTGCCTGTATTGATGGTTAAGTGATAAGTGAGACCCTGGGATTTCCATGAACTTGCATAAGAGATCTCGACAATTTGGTTTCCTTAAACCCACACTTGACCTTTCTCCTATAACACATGGGTCACCTGTAGACTCTGTTTTAACTGAGGAGGTGCAATCTCCTCGCATCATGTCCTGTAACTAAAACTAAATATCTAGAGATGTTGATACAGACCTGTTAATATACAGTTAGCAATTTGTGATGAGGTTATTGATGAGTTTCGCTTTCTTCATTTTTTCTGGATGTATTTCCAGGTTTTTACAATGAATATACATTTCTTTTTAATCAAGAAATAATCATTTATAATAGAAGTTACAAAAGTACAAGCATAAGAATCCCACATATATTCTTGCTATCCTGGGGTAGGTTTATTCAGTTTTACTCAGCATGTCCTGTCTGAGTACCTGATAGTATAATAATGAGCCCTTACATTTGTATAGGTCTTGATGAAGAGTTTCTCACATGGGACAAATAACAATACTTAACTTAGTAATGGTGACAGGATAGCCAGTCATATCACAAGGAAATTGTGGGTTAGCTATTTTATCTCATTTGCCAAGAATTAGCAAATTAGCAGAGGTAAAGCAGTATTTCCAAATCCTAACACAGTTTTCCTTTTTTATATGCAATCATTTTTTTCCCCATTTGTATAAAGTTCTGCTAAATCCCATGAAACATATGAAGAAATATAAGTCCTAGTTCCTGCCATCAAGCAGGTTACAATATAGTTGGGGTACAAAGATAAGTGCTGACAGAATTAATTAGTAATTTAATTAATGACGTAATTAAAAGTGCAGTGTGTAATACAATGCCTGGCACATAGAAGGCACTCACGCAATGTTGGATGGATGCACAGATGCATGGATGTGTGGGTAGATGGATGGCTAGATGTGCAGAAGGGCAGATGGACTGACAAATTGATTATAGTTATAGGGACTTGAAAAGAGAAAAGTTCCTTCATGACAGATGGCTGAGTTTCAGTAAATGTCTATTGACTTTTATTGGTCAGAGGATTTTTCAAGAAGACAGACTAGCTAAGACTTCCAGAACTTAGGAGTAGAATGCGACTCTGCAGAGAGCAGGAGGGAGGGAATTCCGGGCCAAGGTCTCAGCATGAGCCAAAGCAGTGAGGCAGAAAGAGCAAGGTATGACTGGGAACTGTAAAGGAATGACCTTTCTAAAGCCCGGGTTTTGGTGAGGATATTGTTGTGCAAGTAGAATGGGATGATATCATAGAGTGTCTTGAATTTCAAGCGGAAGTACTGAAATAATCCATAAGCATGGACAGCGACAGACATTTTCATGTAAAACAATGTTATAAGGAAAATGTTTTAGGCAACAAATCTGGTAGCAATATGACTTTGTGTTAAATATAAAGATATGAGACGGTTTAATACAGGGTGGAGATTTTTTAAGTATTCGCTGGGATTTTAAAGTATTTTTTAAAAAGAACTACACATGTGGATATTGCTGTATCATCGTTAAAATATTCCTATATGTAGGAAACAAACAGGGTCGCTGGAGGGGAGGGGAGTGGGGGGATGGGGCAAAAAAAATTAATTAATTTTAAAAAATATTCCTATATGTGATTGAAATTTCTGAGACCGTTATATCAAATTCAGATTTAGATCAATAGGTGTTCCTACTGAGAACCAAAAGATTACAACATTCGAAGACACTGGCATAAAAGTCTAGAGGCCTCCAAATATTGCATGCATAAAGTTTAATCAATTTTTCATATGCTGGAGGAAAGGTAATAATTGTTGTCTTCCGAGATGTTCGGCCTAACTCCTGGGTATGTCAGAAAACTGGTATTTCTTGCATGTACGTTCTTGCTGAACCAGGAGAGGGTGTAAAGACTGTCCCTTCTCTTTAAACCTATTCATTATCTTACAAAATTGATGAGGTCATCACTCGAAGTGGTTAACAATTAAGGCCTTGGAGCAAAACTCCGTGGGTTAGAATCCAGCTCAACCACTGAATTGCTACTCGGTCTTAGGTCTCTCTCTGTTCCTCAGTGTTCTCGTCCCATGAATGATGATCACAATAGCACCAACATCTTAGGATCGTGGAGGGGGTTACATGGAGAAAGACGGTCTAGTGCCTGCCATGTGGTAATAAACCATAAATGATAGTCCTGTTACTAGTCCTAATACATCATCACTGAATAACAGACATCTGTTTTATGATCTTGTTAAGTTTGTTCACATGTGTTGTTTTATTTGTCTTTTGTTTTTTAATCATGCCTGGAAAGAACGCTAGGATCCATAGGGATGTGTCTGGGCTCTCGGCCACAACTCAACATAGACAGCCTAGGTTGATCCTAACTTCCATGAAGCTGACCAGCCTCTTGCCTCCCATAGTGAGCCACCTGTATGGATTTGGACTGATGGATGCGGAAGCCATGGTGACGGAAGCAGAGAAGTGGACCACTGTTCCTCAGCAGCACGTGTGCGTGGAGAGCACAGACCGACAAATCAAGTAATGCTCGCGGCAAGCAGACGGCATAGCAATTTCCTGAAAGAGATCAGCACAAGTGCTCCAGACGGCCCTTTGTTGTCCGTGGAAGCCAAAAGCTTGTGTCTTTTTTTTTTTTTTCTAACATAATTGTAAAATTCTCATAGAATGTCTAGGATGCTAAGCTGTTAAATCCGCATAATAGGACCCAAGGATCCTTAAAAGCATCTCTTAACAGGGGATTTGGAGGACGCTTACAGATGGGCGTTCTTAAGATTTCAACTCAGCCAGTATTTCTATTTCATGGTGCAAGTGTTCTCCCTAAGTTAGAGTACTCCAAAAAACTAAACTTGATAGTCTGGAAACCGAACCCTATAATGTGTAATTATGAATTATTTTTAGCACGGTATATAAAGGTAACAATAGGTTGGAAGTAAAACAGATAGAAAATAAGAAGTAGGGGGCATATCTTTCCTGTGGTTCAATGACAGTCTCAGAGAGTGAAATTCAAGTTTTGACCATGAAGGAAGAAAGAGAGTCAGCCATAGGAACAACAGCAAAGCAAAAAAAAAAAAAAAAAAAAAAAAAAAATTTCAGGCAGTGTCTGAGGTGGGAAACAAATCACCCCCAACTTGAACTGACGTCAGTGTGATGGGAGCCCAGTGTTCACGGGGGACGGTGGAAGCTAGGGAAGAAGGCAGGAATGTTCAGGCCAGAGGAGGCCTGTGCCCCATGGGTTACAGAGCAAGGAAGTGGTAGACCAGGGATTTGAACCGAGGTCATGGCAATCCCCAAGCCTCCCCCATACCACCGTACCCTCTACCAGTAGTCTGAAAAGGATATTCCATAGATGAGCAACATCACTGTCACCTGGGAACTTGTGAAAAATGCACATTCTTGGAGCCCACCTCAGCCTCAATCAGACATTGTGGGCAGGGGCTCAGCACTCTGCCTTTTAACAAGGTGATACCCTCAAGTTCAAGAGCCCTCCCTGCAGGAAGATAAAAGAATCTTAATTCCCCCATTTTCTCTCACTTGCATCTTTCCCACTCTCTAATAACCAGGGTTAATCCCTGAAGTGACCTTGGATGATGGCACTCTGTCGTTCAGTATCCAGCCACCAGGGGTTTGTAGTACATCGCGTCATCATTCCGGGCCCGCAGGTTTACCCAGCCTGGCTCCGGCGTGTGCTCTGCTCACACTCTTTCTCTCTCTGTTGCAGGACCATTCGCCCCAACAGTGCGGTGCGCTCCATCTACAAAGCTTCGGGCTGTTCCGATAACCCCAACCACCACGTCAACTACCTGGAGCACGTAGTTGTGCGCATAACCATCACCCATCCCAGGAGGGGAGACCTGGCCATCTACCTGACCTCGCCCTCAGGAACCAGGTCCCAGCTTTTGGCCAACAGGTACTGTGATGGCCTCTGGCAACATCAACACTCAGCTGCTGTGGAAGGTAGAAAGCGTCACCTGCTCCTGACTCACTAAGAACTAAGGGGGCACGTAGATGTCAGGATGGGACAGTCAGAGCTCTTACCGCCCATACATAAATGAGGGAGTGCCGGGGCGCCGGGGCGCCGGGGTGGCTCAGTCAGTTGAGCGGCCGACTCTTGATTTCCGCTCAGGTCATGATCTCGGGGTCCTGAGATCAAGTCACACGTCGGGTTCCGCACTCAGCAGGGAGTCTGCTGGAGATTTTCCTTCCCTCTCCCTCTGCCCCTCCCCCCTCTCTAAAATAAATAAATAAAATCTTTAAATAAATGAGGGAATGTAAAACTGCCTAGAATCTGTAGGAATGGGACAGTGTAACATTTAATACTTGGGTAATACCGCAAGGATGCTGCAGAAAAATTGAAGGCCACCTGTTGTTTATCCTAACAAGGAAATGCAGAGCACTAACTCCTTAGGCCTTTGAGATTCTCTCCCCTGCCCAAAAATGTCTGCTGGAATTTGTTACAGATTAACTGAATCCTCTTGCCCAGGCCTTGTCCAGCCTTAAAGGAAGTTCTATTTGTTTTAAAACAGGTGTGGGCAAATTTTTTCTGCAAAGAGCCAGTTAGTAAATGTTTTGAGCTTTGCAGGCCATGTTTCTGTGGCAACAGTTCAGCTCTGCCTCAGAGCCCAAAAGCCCCTAGGCAGTGTGAATGAATGGGCATGGCTGTTTTCCAATAAAACTTTATTTACAGAAACAGGCAGCAGGCTGGATTTGGCTTGAAGACGATAATTTGCTGACCCGTATTCTAAAGGTTGGCCCTTTAGTCTTTATTGCTCAAGCGGGTACTCAGTTTCTCTTCTTAGCCTCTTGCCTTTTCCCTGCTTCCTCCAAACACGGAGCCAGGAGGTAGCTGTATTGCCACGATCCTGCTGAAAGGCCAGAATGTCCTAGCACCAGTTTTCTTTTGCTGCATAGGTTTTTGAATGGTTGGGAGCATGGGCAGCAGGTGTTTGTCAAAAAGTGGGACCAGAATGGGAAGATGTCGGGTTGTCTTAAACACTTCATCCCCTCTATGGTTCTAAAATATAAACCACAGCCAGAAGCCTAATTGCTTCTTCAGTTTGATCTTTTTTTCCTCCAAGACGAACACATAATGGGAGCAAAAGTCTTATCATGAATGGCATATAGAGTCCAAATGAGAGCCAGGCTTCTATGCAGACATAGCCACCTGCCCACATAGCCAGGTGGCCGGGGCGGTGGTGGGCTTCGTTAGGACTGACAACAGACCAGCGGGGTTGAGAGGCCAGGGGCTGATGCAATCCTGCAGAACCAAAAGCAAGACTGAGCCAGTGCCAGTTGCTCTGCAGAATCCCCAACTTCATCTGCTCTAGCACTGGGAGAGAGAGAGAGCACTAGCAATTCTGGATGACAGTAACTGGGAGTCCAGAACCCGAAGTCTTTCATTACATTTGACATCTGTGCTTGGCCGACTCGTGTTCTTTAAAACCTAACGTCCTCCATTGGGGCGTGGGAAAACGTGGGCTTCGTGCCTTATGCAGCGCAGCTCTGCCAGGATAAGTGGATGCAGGCGCAGAGAAGGGCAGGCTGCTTTGGCCTCCGATTCCTGGACGTGCCACCCATGCCGTGCCCCCGCCGCAAGCAGGGGTCAGTGCTTCTTTCCAGCGGACGACGCCTTCCGATGGACAATTCTGCGACTAGGAGGTCACCCCAGCTGTTGCTACTGAAGCGAGGGAAGACCTTTTCCTCCGTTGTTCTTTCTTTTCCTTTGCCTTCATTCATCTGCGTTAAACTTGAAGGAGTATCCGGGTGAAACACGGCGGCTCAAAGGTTTGCCTCACGCATGTGCGGCTGAGGCCCCTTGGTCGTCCTCTGTTCTAGAAAAACCGTCCCTTCACGGTCGCTGGGGGCTTGGAAAACTCGGAGTCCTCAGGCTTTCTGGGCTTTTCCTGCCTACTGCAGCGTTTCTAGTTGGCCTGCCCCCGGAGTGACTTCAGGCAGGAGGCTGGGAAGCAGAGGGGCTGTGGCCCCGTCGCCGGATTCGGTGGACTGTCGCGGCGCGGGCTTCAGTTCGACACGCATGCGCAGGAGCCGACACCTGCTTGGCTCTTTGCCAAGTGCCCAACCCAGCCCTGCGGCCTGACCCATGCCAGAGAAAAGAAGCCCGTATTTCAGATGCGCAGTGACCAGCGGTGGTGAAGTTGACCTCAGTCTCCGCCATCAAGACCCCCCTGGGAATAAAGTTGCTACCCGGCGTGTGACTTCTCTGGAACGTTTTCTCCAAGGGCTGCTCTTTTGTATGTGTTTCATCTCAGTACTGAAAGGAAGTAGCCACCCAAAGGTGGTGGGCGGACCGGAGGGGCAGAAGGGCTGGAGACACCCTGGACGTGTAAAGGATGTTATGAATTCGTTTGTCCGCCGTTCCCCAAACACATCACTCTAAACAGCTGACCCCTGAAGCCTAAAACAGTGGCACCCAGTCCCAAAAGCAGGTGCGGCGTCCCGGGCCAGACTCCCCTGCCCTTGCTGTGCTTGATGCTAGGAGCATCCCTTCAACCGAAGCAGTTAAGGACCGTTTCTTTTGGCATTTTTTTTTTTTTTTTACCTTCTAGCATGTTCTGAAGCTTTCCTTTTATGAGAGGAAATCTCTACTCAGAACCTTTTAGTCTCTGACCTAGGGGCCAGGAGTCTTTGTGTCCCCTCACCTTGGCCCTGTTTCAAGGCCCCTTGCCTGGATTAGGAGCTGAGGAGGAGCAGCATAGGAGAGGGGCGGGGACAGGCTGAAGGGAAGGCCTACTCCCCTCCTGGTGTCCTTCACGTTGGCCTGCAAGGCAATAATACTTCCTCAAGGAAAGGTGGATAGGTCAGGTTCTGGAAGGAAAGTGTGTGTCAGAGATTATTAGTGAGAGCAATAAATGGTTCCCCGGTTGGACACTTACCTTTCTTCCAAAGAAGTCAAGATTTCTAAGGAGGACCACGGTAAAGCAAAGAAGAGCATGTAGTTGAAAGAGACCTCTCAACGGTCACAACAGGAAGTTTCCTTATGTGAAGGGTCATTTGAGATGAAGAGGTAGAGCTGAGGTGGCCGAGAGCCGTCCCCGCGTGTTTCAGTGCTGTTGATCCCCACAACACAGCAATTCCTTGGGAATCGATTTTCCACAAGGTCGCTGAGCACTTGACCCATGTGGGCCGTCTGGAACCCCTCAGTACCTCCCCGTCCCAGCTGACGGGCACTTGCTAGAACTCCCGTGGAGAACAGCTGTTGGAGGAAGCATCTGCAGGTGCTGGGCCCTGGAAGGCACTCGCAGCATTCAGAACTAGTCCAACTTGAGCGTGCCCCATTAGCCCAGCATGCGAGCACCCCTGGCAAGCCAGGTTGATAATTTAGTAGGTGGGAGCACTGAGTTCACAGAGTAGGCCTGGAATGGGCAAATGGTTAGTTTCTTCTCATCCCTTTGTTTTTTCCTGCCCTCCCACCCTCCTGGTCCTCCTCTCGGCCTGTGCACCCTGCCTCACAAAAAGCCACACTGAATAATCGGCACAAATGCTTTACTTCTGGGGAGAATCTGGAGGTCTTGCATTGGCCAGGGGGAATCTAGGAGGGCTTGGGTTCCTTTAACATGTTTTTAGACAGGCACAACTTTAGATTTAGCCTTTTTTTTTTTTTTTTATACCATCTCGTATTCAAATTCTGCCTGTGTAAAAGTTTTCCAACAAAAGCTGGCTTCATCAGATTCTTCCTTCAGCGGCATTTGTTAGAATTATGAAAAGCGGTCTTTCTCCCCCTGAATCTCCCCTTCCCCACAAGTCAGTGAGTTTGAGATTTAGTGTAGCTGTAGTGGCCCTCTGTTCCAAATTTTGGCCTCTGACTGAAAGCTGAAACGTTTTTCCTTTTCTTTCTAAATCTGATTACATACGAATATCTCTGCTTCCAATTATGGTCTTAAGTAGAGAGAAGGTACACTTTCGAGTCTGCAAAGCCTATAGGCTTCTATAATTAAATATGTTTAAATGTGATGTTTATATTTGAGTCATTTCTGTTGCTGCCCAAATGTTCAATGACAGACCATTGACATTTGTGAAGTATCATGCCAACTAAGTGCATTTGTGGCTTGCGGTAAAAATTAGACTTCTGCAGTGGAAATTCTACATTCCAATAAGGCCTCACCCTAAGAACCCTCTTCCTTGCCCCAAAAGAAGGTAGAGCCTTTGGCGTTAGAGCTGGGCTTGTCTGGATTTCACCAATTTTTACGTTCGACTTTGAAAAGCAAGTCTCTCATCTAGAAAACAGATGCCGTGGTTAGTGTCCTCCTCACCTGGTTGTCACAAGCATTGAGTAGGATCACATACAGCAAGTCCTTAGCACCGCTTCTGGAACACACAGTAAGCACTTAATAAGTGCTCACCCTTATTTACACAGTGCTTCTTAAAGCACCTGGTGGATGACTCCATCAGACACAGATGGCTGGGCCCCTCTCCCAGAGCCTGATCCTGTAGGTCTGGGGGAGGTCCATGAATTTGCATTTCTAAGAAGCTCCCAGGTGATGCGGAAGCTGCCTGTCCACAGACCACATTTTCAATCTCACCAATTTAAAAGATCACCCAGCTTTTCATACAACATTCTTGTTATGTTCGTGTCCTCAAAAGACTTGTGGGCAGAACACTGCTGGGTACTGTGCGAGTAATTTACAAAGGCGTCTGTAATTGAAAACAGATACTTAGATAAAAGCCATCCGCTCTTAAATGGAATAAATCTGCAAGATTATGTGCGTACATCATAGATCCACAAGAAGGAATGCCTTTTGGGCCTCGTCAGTAAATAATAGCGTGCGGGTTGAAAGTTTCTTTTTTCTTAAAAACTCATCTCTTTAGGTATTCCAAAGCTCTCGAACTAGTACCTCTCTCTCAGTCTTTCTTAAAGAAGTAACTTCGATGAGGAGAGACAGAAAAACTTAATAGTGCATTTTAAATACCCTATTTCAGAAGCAAATCATTTAAAACTTGCAAAAGCGAAACAGCTAAAGAAAATAAAAAACTGAATGACAATTAAGCCAAATGAGCGCTTCAAGCATTCTGTAAGTTCTACGTTAAATTACGATGAAGCCCTAAAAAGAAAATAATAATTAAGTATTTTAAGAGACAGAGAAAGAAAGAAAAAGGCAACTTCTAAAAATACCTGTCTAAAGTCTAATTCTGTAATGAACATAAATACTGTTTGGGGAGTAGTAGATGATTCTGAAATTAAGATCCCTTTATAACTTTAGAAATAATTATACGATAACACATAGCTGTCAGTACTTATAAAATGTCTTGTTATTCAGTTGCCATAACACCACTGAAGAATGTTGTAGCCTTGACACATTGGCTAGACTCTTTAAGTGAAAGGGGGAAGAAAGCTTACACTAATTATATGAGTTATTTCCTGAGTTAATTCCCCAGAAGGATGTACTACACTTAATGGCCGTCTTTTCTACCAGGCTTCATCCAAAGTAATTTATTTGAAAACCGCTCACAGGGATAGGGCTGTGGGGCACCATTTTAATAACTGGATGCATAATTTGTGCTACCACAGGCATATATCATTTCATCGAGCACATGATTATGAAGTCAACTTTGACAGGGTTTCGCTGCAACAGGGGATGTGGATCAGCCATGGAGTTAATTACTGCAGCCTTCTGCACACTGGCCCTGCTTTATTGACATTTTATCCATGCTAATAACGTTGGCATGTGTTGGGTTTCTTCACTGTTGGCCCAGCGCAGACGTTCAGACTGGGCATTGGACTTTTTAGTTGATAAATGGAGACCACACAATGAGAATCTCTTTAGCTGGTGTCCAGTGCTTTGACACTTGCTTGTCTTGAGCAAGGGTGTTGTTTGCAACACAAATCGATTCTACTACCAGTGTTACCTTCTGTGATATACAGATGAGGCCGGGTTCATCATTGTTACGATGCCAAAAAATCGGGAATAGTTTAAGTGCTTAATCAGAAGAAAATAAAGAACGGGGTGAGATTAGAAACGTGAATGGCCAGCTAGTCGAAACAACAGCAGTAATCAGTGTCTATTTCTTTCCCCATCAACTCCTTTAGCAAAATGCAATGATCGTGTTTGGCTGCATTTTTAATTCGTCTCCTCAACTTTTATGTCCACATGAAATTAATGAGCATTCAGCTCTGCATAAAGGGAAGAGACCGGGCTGGGCAGCCGCTTAGCCAGATAGACAAAGCCCATTTATATTCGGGCTTTGAAACACTTATTTGAATGCTGATTATGGATATTTCTTCTTGGAACCCGGTTTATATTTAATTTGGGTTCCAAATGTGATTTAAAAGTGATTGGCAGCAATGGCATGATTTTCAAAGGTGGACAGGAAAGGGTAGAAGGGGAGAAACACAGGGTCCACTAATCCAGCAGTCAAATAATTGAACCATGAGTAATTAGAAGTTGGCTACGGTTGTGGAAACAAGACTGCCCCTCATGTGATGGCAGCTTCAAGTCTCCTTTGTAGTTTTTAGACTTGAGGCAATGAGCCAAATGCTCTGTCTAAACTGTTTGGGAATTGCTTTTAAGTTTGGCACTCTTGGAAAGGTATTATGTGACAAGTTGTTGCTTCGGTGCCCTCAAATGGCACAATGGCTTCAGTGATCTCGAGCCTAAATCAGAGCTCTGTGGGCTGAGAAGTGGTTCTAGATTGGTTTCTGCCTCCACGCATGTCTCCGTCAACATACTCCCTTTCGTAACATCTGTCTGAGAGGAAGGGAGATTTGAAAAGCCTCCTCCTTCCCCACCGCTGTTTCTCCTTTTCATCCAACATACCCACCCTCTGGGTTTATGTGAAGGACTCTCTGTATGTAAGTCAGTTATATGATGAGCCAGCAATTTCTTCCTGGCCAAGTCTAGTTTTAAGCCATAAGCTTATGAACCAAGCCCTGTTGTGGTAGTGCATGCATTATAGGATCTCCACAAAATGCACCATCCCTAATCTAATGAAGCTCTTTAATTGATCTTTTATACTAGGAAGACATTCATGTAAGGAGCCACTACTTCCATCCCTGTTACCATGAGGGTAAGCCACCGTGTCCAATATGGTTCTCATTGAAACTCCACACTCCTCTGTTCAGAACTCACCCTTATAGATAGTATACAGATATTCTGAAAAGAGAAAAAGGGGCTTCTCACTCACAGTAGCCTTGAAAATCACTTCCTACCATTAACCCCATTATGGAAAGTAACAAAACATATATGAACATCCCAGAGATCTGGGATGTTCTCCAATAAAGAAATCTGTTCGACTCTACCTCAGCCTTTCTCAAATTTTCCAACTGTGGGACACTTTGACAATGCCGATAAGTACTTGCCCTTTTTCTTCTTTTAAGGGCTGAGGAACACATAGAGGTGATTTTCCTGTTTATTGAGTTTCTCTGGGGAAAACTGCTGAGTGTCTGCCATTTACCTAATACATTCCAGTTATGCCAACCAACCCTTCAGTTTCAGGATCCAACTGTCATTTTAGAGGGATCCTCAGACATATTGATAGAATGCTTTTGTATGTGAAAAATCAGAATTCTAGTATATTATAAGGAGATTAAACTGGTTATTTTTGGTTTCGGAAGGGCACTTTTTCTCCCAATGGGAAGATATACATAGAATGTCAGATTATACCCACCAATTTCCTTGGTGAGCACGAAATTAAAGCAAGGAGAGTTGATTGCATGTTTTGAATAGCCATCAACATCCGGTTGCCATGAACTTTGTCTCCACGGAAGGACGGTTATGTCCCGGTAACTGGACATGGTTGTTCCTAAGACCATACTAGGGTTATTTTTGCCTCTCTGTTTGCCTCTCTAGCTCTCAAATTCTTTCTCTAGATTTATTATTTTTTTCAACAAAAATAATTGACGCACATAATTTTTTTAAGTATTCTTAAAAAAAAATCAATTTCTTGCCCCATCTTTTAGTTTTTAACCCTCTATGTCCCATCTCTATAGAAATCTTTAAGTAGGGTCTACACCCAACATGGGTCTTGAACTCATAACCCCAAGATCAAGAGTTGCATGTTCTGGGGCACCTGGGTGGCTCAGTCATTAAGCATCTGCCTTCGGCTCAGGTCATGATCCCAGGGTCCTGGGATTGAGCCCCGCATCGGGCTCCCTGCTCAGTGGAAAGCCTGCTTCTCCCTTTCCCACTCTTCCTACTTGTGTTCTCACTCTCATTGTCTCTCCCTCTCTGTCAAATAAATAAATAAAATCTTTAAAAGAACAAAAAGAGTTGCATGTTCTACTGACTGAGCCAGCCAGGCACCCCTCTACGGAAATCTTCTTAATATTTCTTTGGGTCATCAATTCTATATAATGTGCTTATATAAATGATATGCCTCTTTCTTCATGTGCTTGTTTTATACATTATCTATTGACATCTCTTTATTCTTTTTTTTTAAATTTATTTATTTGACAGAGACAAAGTGAGAGAAGGAACACAAGCAGGGGGAGTGGGAGAGGGAGAAGCAGGCTTCCCACTGAGCAGGGAGCCTGATGCGGGGCTCGATTCCAGGACCCTGGGATCATGACCTGAGCCGAAGGCAGATGCTTAACCGACTGAGCCACCCAGGCGCCCTGACATCTCTTTATTCTTAATGAAGATTTTGTTTTCTTTTATTTAATGTTTTCATATTTTATATCCCTCAGGATTATATCACAGGAAACAATTCTAGCTATTTCAAGCAGAAAGAGATTTCATATAGGGAATTCAGAGCTTAGAAAACCATTAGAAGAGCTAGAAGAGTAAAATGTAGGCTGGACTTCCAGGCGTGACTCCCTGAACTGGTTAAGATGAGTGGCAGGGTCTTTTTACTGAGGCATAATTTACACACAATACAATTCACTTTTTAATGTGAGTAACTTAATGAGTTTTGACAAATATTGTTGTATAACCATACACTGTTATTTTCAAGATATAAAACAATTCTATCACCCCCAGAACTTCTACCATGCCCCCTCTTCCCTCCCAGCCCCTGGCATCCACTGATCTATTTCTGTTTATATTCCTTTTCTAGAATGTCGTATAAATTGAATCCTACAGCACGTAATCTTTTGTGTCTGACTTTTTTCATTTAGCTTAAATGCTTTTGAAACTAATTCATGTTATTGCATTTATTAGTAGTTCAACAGTTTTTATTACTGGGTAGTATTTTGTCATATGAATATACCAGAACTTGATTACCCATTCACTCGTTGAGGGACATTTGAGTTGTTAACAGTTTTCAAGGATTACGAATAAAGCTGCTGTGAACATTCATGTGGAGGTCTTTGTGTGAACATATGTTTTCACTTCTCGGGTAAATGTCTGGGAGGGGGATTGTGGAGTTTCATGGTAAGAACTACCAAACTGTTTTCAGAGCAGTTGTACCATTTTGCATTCCCATTAGCAGCGTAAGAGAGTTTCAGTTGTTCCACACCTTTAATACTTGGTACTATCACTCTTGTGCGTAGAGTCATAGCCTGGTTTTCAGATACCCAAATGTTTACCCCTTCCAGATTTGCTATTACAAGGCCATCCCAGTGCCTATTTGCCTGTGGTAGAACAAAGACATGCGTTTGGGTCTGCTAATTGTCAACCTCCAGGAGGAAGACAGCCTCCAGGATTGAGCTGAACCTGCTGATGGATACAAAAAGATGACTGATCATGGTCTCGACTTGAGCTTCACTGGATTCTAAATAACATACAAAACAATGCTTTCTGACTCTCTCACAGGCTCTTTGATCATTCTATGGAAGGATTTAAAAACTGGGAGTTCATGACCATTCATTGCTGGGGAGAGCGAGCCACCGGTGACTGGATCCTTGAAGTTTACGATACCCCCTCCCAGCTGAGGAACTTCAAGACTCCAGGTAAGAATTCCCTTTTCTATCATTTGGTTTACGCTGCAGAAACAAATAATGGAATGTATTTTGGCCTGGAAGTGTTTTTACATTTATATATCAACATCATCCTTTTTCATGTGATCCTGTAGTTTGAGTACCTGTATGTATTCCAGTTCTCAACATTACCATTTGAGTAATAATAATTGAAGGATTAAAGAATAAATGTTTTGATATGAGTACAGGATAAAATGTGGCAGCTATTGATTGATGTTTCAGAATATATGATCCACATCTCTAACCAGCTTCCCCCGCCCCCCCCAGAAGCAAGCCAGCCTCATCTACCTGCGGTAGGCTAAATTGCACGGTCATGAGAAGAGACAGTTTCCTTAGTTATCTGTTCCTCTGAATTTATTCTAAAATTAATTTTCAGTGCACACAAGACATTGAGCTTGACCTGTGCCAGCTAAACTGGTTACCAGTAAAGAAAATGAATGATGGTATTCTGCCCCATGTGAGCCTAAGAGCTAAGGAAAAGGAATGCTTTCTAGATAAGTAAAATGTGGAAATTACGATGTTAACAGAAGCACATGGTCTGTCTCCATCCTCATGCTAATACATGAAGCTTGTTTGTAACTCAAAGTAAGGGAAAGTACAAATGTAGCTTGGGGCTGGAGACTGAACAGGTTTTCACAGCACCCTGTGTTGTCCACAGTGGAGCCCTACGTAGTACTTGGCTCAGTGGCTGGTGATCTGTTTGACAAGCACCCCAGCTCCCACCCAGCCATGGACCCATCTGCAATCATCTAACAAATCTGTGCTTCTCAGTGCTCTCTCTCTGCAGTCCACCTGCAGAAGATCCAGGCCTGAGGGCATGTTCGGACTGACGGATATCCATTTCTAGCCCTCTGCTGATTGCAGAATAAATTAACCTAGACATTCTGTAATTCACTGTAAGGGTGTGTATTACTCAGGTAACCGTGGGTTGCACAGGGCAAAGGAGGCGCACAGCAGAACGCAGGAATGAAGCATGCATTTGCCATACTTTTGCCCACCAGTCAGGGAAAGGTACTCATTCTTAGAGATCTGTTTTTGGCCACGCATTTGGCGATCTCTTCTCCCTAATTCTGTGACGTGTTTCCTCTGTGTTGCCACAGCAGACCCACGCTCAGGGAGGTTAAAACCAGCATGGTGGCAAGGCCGCAATGAATCAGGATAAAAGATTTGTTAAAGAGTATCCAGGTCCAGCTCACCTCCAGCATGCATCATGAATACAGTGGTTGCCAAAGTGTGATCGAGAAATCAAATGTTTGTCAACAAGGCAGGCTTGATCGAAAACATTAAAATAAACTAGACCCTGATTTCTAGATGCTTTCAATGGTCCCTAATCTACTTAGTCCTCAGGACATTCCTCTCCCCTCCCTTCCTCTTTCCAGGCCATGCTCAATGCTCATGTGATAGAGGTCATGGCACACAGGGTCAATGGTGGCATGGTGACATGGCTCTGCTGCCTGACCCCAGTGGATCCATCGGCAGGTGACAGTTAAGGGCTCTTCTGTCTCAAGAGATCCCAGGAAAATAATCACTGTCCAAATGTGGCGGTTGTGTAGCAAGAGGTGGGGGCGGGGGGTGCAGCCTATGGCACAGACATGGGGGGTACGCTGTTGAGAATATAAGACAGTTATAAAACTGACTAAAAGTGACTCTCCTCTTTATTGTCACCATGCAACTCTAAAGAATGTCGGTGACAAAATGCTCCTCCCCACAAGAGGAAACTATCCCTTGGGGCACACTCCTAGTAGGCCTGGTATTTATGTGCAAGGGTCAGGGGCCATGAATGTAAAGCTCTCTGCTCTCCAGGAGTTCAGAGTCCCTCCAGAGTTGGTGATGATCATCTGTGTTCGAGGCTCTCAGCAGTAGCTCAGATAATCTAGAGTTGTCTCTTTCACAGCATTGGCTTCTCCTTATGCCATTTAAACGTTCACGTGTAATTCCAGTCACTTCTAGTCATTTTACAGATGTTCTTTTCTGCCAGAAGAGAGATACCCTGATGCTATTACTGGCCTGGGGTCAGGAGGCTTTGATAGATTCATAGTCTTTGGCTATCCTTCCTTTAACCAAACTTCCAGTTTAGGATTAGTCACAACATTGAAAAGGGACTTCTACTTCTATGTGTGTGCACGTGGGTGTTTCTGTCATTGTTTCTGTGGTGTACAGCCCTATGGAAAGTTTCTCTAATTAATGAGGAATTTCTTTAGTAAGCTAATAGAAATTCAGTTGGAGATGTAGAATTTTCTAGCCCGATTAAATGGTAGAATCATTCCCAAGTATAAAGGTTCCTGATTCCAAACTGAGCTCCTATTTCTTTATTGTTTCTTCCCATTTGTTTATTATTAAAACATATATTAAGGATTTTTTAATCGAAGTGTAGTTGACACACGTTACATTAGTTTCGGGTGTACAACATGGTGATTAGACAAGTCTGTGTTACGTTGTGCTCACACAAGTGTGGCCACCATATGCACCACACAACACTCTTACATTACCATTGACTCTGTTCCCTGTGCTGTCCCTTTCATCCCTGTGACTTGTTCATTCCAAAGCTGTAAGCCTGAACCTCCCACGCTCCTTCATTGATGTTTCTCATCCTCCCATCCCTTTCCTCTCAGGCAACCACCAGTTTGTACTATGTATTTATGAGTGAAATAGTACGGTATTTGTGTTTCTCTGTTTCACTTATCTCACTTAGCGTAATCCTTCTGGATTCATCCATGTTGTCACAAATGGCAAGATTTCATTCCTTTTTATGGCTAATACTCCAATGTGTGTGTGTGTGTGTGTGTGTGTGCATACGCGCACACGTGCACACGCAACTATACACACACACACACACACCAAATCTTCTTTATCCATTCATCTATCAGTGGACACTTAGGTTGCTTCTACATCTTGGCTATTGTAAATAATGCTGCAATAAACATAGGGGTGCATATATCTTTTTTTAAAGATTTATTTATTAGAGAGAGCACACTAGTGTGGGGAGGGTCAGGGGGAGAGAGAGAAGCTCAAGCCGACTTCACATTGAACACAGACCCCTAGATCATGACCTGAGCTGAAATTAAGAGTCGGATGCTCAACCGACTATGCTACCCTGGTGCCCCTCCATCTATCGTTTTGAATCAGTGTTTTTGTTTTTGGGGGTAAATATCCAGTAGTGAAATTACTGGATTGTAGGGTATTTCTATTTTTAATTTTCTGAGGAACCTCCATCCTGTTTTCCAGAGTGGCTGCACCAGTTTGCATTCCCACCAAGAGTGCATGAGGCTTCCTTTTTCTCTGCATCCTCAACAACACTTGTTGTACCTTGTCTTTTTTATTTTAGCCAATCAGATTGGTGTGCGGTGATATCTCACTGTAGTTTTGATTTGCATTTCCCTGATGATTAGTGATGTTGAGCATCTTTCAGTGTGTCTGTTGGCCATATCTGTGTCTTTGGAAAAGTGTTTATCCAGCTTCTCTGCCCATTTCTTATCAGATTGTTTGGGTTTTTTGTGTCAGGCTATATAAGTACTTTATACATATTAACCCCTTATCAGATATTTCATTTGCAAATATCTTATATTCATGAGGTTGCCTTTTTGTTTTGTTGATAGTTTCCTTTACTGTGCAAAAGCTTTTTAGTTTGGTGTAGTCCCAACAGTATATTTCTGCTGTTGTTTCTTTTTCCTAAAGAGGCATATCCATAAGTATGTTGCTAAGGGCAATGTTTAAGAAATTACTGGCCATGTTTTCTTTTAGGAGATTTATGGTTTCAGGGCTCACATTAAGTCTTTCATCTATTTGGGGTTTATTTTCGTGTCCGGGGTAAGAAAGCCTCCCAGTTTAATTCTTCGGCCTGCAGCTGTCCAGTTTTTCCCAACACCATTTATTGAAGAGACTGTCTTTTCCCCATTAAATATTCTTGAATTCTTTGTTATGGATTAATTGACTATATAAATGTGGGTTTATTTCTGGGCCTTCTATTCTATTCCATTGATCTATGTGTCTGTTTTTGTGCCAGTACCATAGTGTTGTGATTACTCCAGTTTTGTAGTGTATCTTGAAGCCTGGGATTGTGATACCTCCAGCTTTGTTCTTCTTTCTCAAGATTTCTTTGGCTATTCAGGGTCTTCAGTAGTTTCACACAAATTTTAGTATTATTTGTATGGACATTTTAGCAATATTAATTCTTCTATGAGCGTGGACTATTTTGCCATTTGTTTGGTCATCTTCAATTTCTTTCATCAGTGTTTTATAGTTTTTAGACTCTAAATCTTTCACCTCCTTGGTTAAGTTTATCCCTAGGTGTTTTATTCTTTGTGGTGCAATTGTAAACGGGATTGTTTTCTTAATTTCTCTTTCTGCTGCTTCATTATTAATGTATAGAAAGGCAGCAGATTTCCAAATATTAATTGTGTATCTTGCAACATTACTGAATTCATTTATTCTAGAGTTTTGATGGGATCTTTAGGGTTTTGTATATATAATGTCATGTCATCTGCAAATAGTGACACTTTCACTTCTTCCTTACCAATTTGTATGTCTTTTATTTCTTTTTCTTGTCTGTTTGCTACAGCTAAAACATCCAGTACCATGTGTCGACTAAAAGTGGCAAGAGGGGCATCTTTGTCTTGTTTCTGATCTTAAAGGAAAAGCTCTGTTTTTCATCATTTAGTATGACATTAGCTAGGGGTTTGTCATATATGGCCTTTATTATGTTGAGGTATGTCCTTCTAACTCCACTTTGTTGAGGGTTTTTATTATGAATGGATGTTGAATTTTGTCAAATGCTTGTTCTGCTTCTAGTGAGACAATCATATGATTCTTATCCTTCACTTTATTAATGTGGTATAGCACATTGATTGATTTGCAGATACTAAACCACCATTGTATCCCCAGAATAAATCCCACCGTGAATGTCCTTTTAATGTATCGTTGAATTTGGTTTGCTAATATTTTGTTGAGGATTTTTGCATCTGTGTTCATCAGGG